CATGTGAATCCCTCGTTGCCGACAGAGAGAGCTAAACTATACATGCGGCAAGCAGTACAAAAACAACAATAGCAGGAGAAGAAGCCATCACTCACCGTGATTGATGAGTGAATCTGACTTACCACTGTTGTTTGATGAACTCGTGAAAAAACGGCGCGAGAGAGAAAAGAAACGGAGCAAGAGAAAAAAAGAAAACCGCAATAGACGCGAATGGAAACACGAATGACAAGCTAACCGGCTAAAGAAAGCTAACGCGCTGCATTCGCTGTTTTAGAATAAAAGCGAACGATCAAATTAATCAGATTAGTTTTATAGATAATATCAGAAATATGGTGGGAATTAAGTTATATTTTATCACTTTAAACAACAGAGAGTAATAGTAAGATAGAGATTCAACAGAAAAGCAAAGCTACACGGAGCTACAATCACAAACCACTCAGCAGCATGGTACACAGAAAACATATAACCAGGGCCTAAAATTAACACTCGCCAAGCGCCAAATGCGAGTAAAAATCGGTGTTGGCGAGTATATGTAACCGTGTCAGTCACCAGTTGGCGGGTAAAACTTTTACTAAATATAACAATGCAATGTAGTGAGAACAACAGACAGTTTTTAAAGAGATTCGCTGTTTCTGATGCAAGCTAATAAGATTCTCTTTTCCGAAGACAGGGTCCTCGTGATTAGCTGTTCTGTCAAAAGCGACAAGAGCGAATCGAATAATAGGATACAAACGGACTGATAAGGTCAGAGCAGTGTGATGGCCCGCTTGTCCCTAGACACGGTTCTAATAACTTTTACCTGAGAAGATATTGCTGCTTCATTTCGGAAGATTAATGTTTCCCTTCTTTATTCTTCATAACCCGAGAATGTGGTGAGACATACCTGTGGTTACGCCGCAGAAACAGTGCAGAGAAGTAGGCTATGAGGTTGCTCGTTCGGCTGTACAAGACGCTGAGCCGCTTTAGACAGCGCACCAGTAGTGCTTCAACGGACGAAAACACACACAATTATGTCTAAATATGCGGTTTTGGCGAGTTATTTCGTAAACGTAGTCTCAAATGAGTTATAAAGTCATATATCAAATATGAAATAATATAAAAATGAGATTAATCATGATTAACTAAAGAAAAATGTGTGATTCATATTTTTTTAATCGATTGAAAGACAGCAATGTTAACCTTTTATAGATTTTAGATTTCAATTTAATTTCTAATTTTATAGGTCCCCCCAGAAAGAGACTGGTACGGCCCCCACCCCCTTGGCCCCCTTCAAATTTTCAGTCCGATAATCAGGCCCTCAAATGAAGCTAATTGAGTAGCACTGCTCTAATCCGTTAACATGGGTGCGGAAAAAAATATGCACCACACACACACTGCAAACTGAGTATGTGTGAAACAGGTGTAACACGATGGCCTGCTCCGTTTGCCGAAAACATGCAAAGGACAAGAATCCCAACGTTTTTTAGGGACAAAAAAAGATAAATCAATAAATCTGTTTGTTGTTTTTTTTTCTTGTAAATAAAGTAAAGGACAAATTAAAAACATTGTAAATATGTTTAGTCATTGTAGTAGTAATGACTGCCTGTTTTTGCAAAAACAGTTTCATGGCTGGTAAAAACAAGATTTTGGCCGGTAAATGTTATCACGTCACTGGCCATTGGCAGGTGTGGCAAAAAGTTAGTCTTAGGCCCTGCATATAACCATTGGGCAGTAATATCAGCTGGGTAACACTTTACGTGTGTGCGTGTGTGTGTGTGTGTGTGTGTGTGTGTGTGTGCATGAGCGTGTGCATGTGCGTGCGAGTGCGTATGTGTGTGCGTGCGTGAGTGTGTGTGTGTGTACGTGAGCGTGTGCGTGAGTGTGTGTGTGTGTGTGTTCAGACAAGTGACATTTATGAATATAATTTACAGTTTCAACTGAAAACCGAGCTACTTGCATGATTGTTTTTACATACAGTATCACCAAATCACATAATAACAAGAAAAAAAAATATGATATACAAGTAATAGTAAGATGGAATTAAAGAATATTTTTTTTCATAATTTATATTATACATTTATATTATATATCTGTCTATTTTAATATTCTATACACATTAATTTTTATCTTGTTTTTTTCATTCCTTAATTTAATTTAATAAAAATAATATTTTTATAGTTCTTTGTTATTATTGTTATATTGTATGTTTCCTTTTTCTTGTGATTACTTGTTTTGTGTAATAATGCTTAGGCAATATTGCATGTCAATAAAGTGCTTTAAATGAAAATTGAACTGAACTAACTGCCAAGAAAATGAATTAAAAGACAGGAAAATAAAATATATAATATATAGGGTAAATTAGACATAAGACATTATGAAATAAAAAACTTGTAGTTTTAATGCTGATCAAGGCATATAAAATTAGGTTTAAAAGGCAATTAATATTCAGTAATATTATACTGTATATATTTAATGCACTGACACAAAATCTGATCTGAGTTGATATTCAGAGCCGATCCTCACTATACACAAAGTATACACCAGGGGGCCCCCTTGCTCTCAAATAGTATTTCATTTCAGTTGTGTTTTTGATTTTGGCCAGCGGTTATGAAAACATGAATGTTCCTTTCCTTAATGCGGTGCGCTGTTGCCCTTTCTACGTAACATCCAGATCAGTCACATCATGTATCGTGTCATATACAGTCTCCTGCTGGCCTTGCTTGATACTTGAAAAAAGAATTCAAATCACCCAGCGCTTTGCATTTGCACAATACGAGATGGACACATATAGGCTACTTTGCGCATTGTATATGTCAAAATATCCATCTTGGTGAGTTTTCACTAAACACAGTCATTTATGTCTTTAGTGAAAATAAACAGTTTGAAAAGTACTGGAATGCTAGTCAGTATCTGTACATCCTACTGTATAAACCTGCTGCTGTCTGTCATCATCTGTTAATCAACAAAAGAAAATTAGAGAATTATTCACTGCTCTTCACTGAATATTGTTCATAACTTTGTTATGAATCAGTTTATTTATATTAATTGATATGGTGAAGTCTGTGCAGTGCTTTATTTGATTGCTTTAATCGGTTTCTGTATAGTAGGCGATTATAGGCTAAATTGTTTAATTAACGCACAGACAGAACCCCCTCGGCAAAGTTTTGCTTAGGGCCCCCAGAAGTCTAGGATCGGCACTGTGCATAATCAATGAATTTTGCAACGTTAACACTGTTATTTTCCTGTTTATTACTGATAATGATGTATTTTAACAGTGATTAATTGAGTGTGATTGTACAGATGTTGAATTGATTGAGAGAACATGTAGCTTTAACCTGTTTCTCATCAGGTGCGATCCTGGGCTTCATGCTGGGTGTCTTCCAGATCCCGCTGAAGGACTGTGAGGATCTCTACAGGACGCTGAGCTCAGACGTCTTCAAGCAGAACCTGATCGTGGGAATGGTGAAGATGAGCTGGAGTCACGCTTTCTACGACCGCCAGATCTGGGAGAAAGTGCTGAAGTGAGTGTCAGAAAGCTGCAGGGATGTCTGCTGTCTCCTGAAAGCTCCCTGTACTGAACCTCTGAACCTCCACACAGGGAGAAGATGGGCTCGGACCTGCTGATCCAGATGGCTCGCGACCCCGACTGTCCCAAAGTACGAAGTCAGCCGGGTTCAAACTGGGGAAACGCTAGGAGAAAAACTGTGTGGAAAAATAAATCAGTAATGAGAAACAATACATAATTAAAGAAAAATGAAAAAACTGTGTTAGCAACAAAAAATAAACATCTTTAAAATACATAAATAAATAAAAATTTGGTTAAAATAAATAAACATCTGTCCTTTATTGCAGGGGTTTTCAAACTGGGGTCCGGGAAAAAGTTTAGAGAAAACTGTGATAAAAATGTAAAACATGAATAAATAATAAAAATGATTAAAGATCGAAATACATAAATAAACATTTTGATTAAAATAAATACAAATATTAGATTAATAATAAGTAAATATTTTAACAGTAGTGTGAATGGAAAAAGAAGCATCATAATACAAGTTATTATAGTTACATAACTAAATATATAACCAATTAATATATAACTAAAACTATAAAACACATTTTTGTTATTTGAATAAAATAAACTAAAATGAAACTAAATAAAAAACAAAAAATATATAAAAATGAAAACATAATGTAAAATAATAATATAATATATAATGTAAATCTGAAAAATAAAATGAATATAAAATATATATTTTATAATTTTCATTTTATATTTAACTTATTTTATTTCAGCTAGTTGCCAAGGAAATATTTATTATTTTCATTTATTATTTTCAACTTGATGTACTAAAATAGCTAAAAACTAAAACTGAAATAAATAAAAAAATACTCAAACTTTAAATAAAATTTAGTTGAAAATGGAAAATATATATATAAAAAAAAAAAAACTAATCTAATGGTATCAGCGATACTAAAATAACTGAATATAATGTAATATAAACTAAATACTTTCCACATAATATTTTCCACATGTGTGTAATGTGAATAGTTTTCTTGCTCTGTTGATGTTGGGGAGCTGGTGTTTGGGCTCTGCGGAGCAGCCCTGCTGTGATCAGTGCAATGCTGTGTTTGTCCAGCAGGTGGCGGCTGTGAGCACAGTGGTGAACCACGCTCCTCCGGTGAAGGCCTTCGTCTTCAAGAACTACAGCCTGCTGGTCGGGGTGCGGTCGCATTACCGCGGCTCCTGCAGACACCGGCTGTGGGAGGCCATCCGAGCCTCATCTGCGGCGCCGGGATACTTCCAGGAGTTCGCTCTGGGAGACGACCTGCACCAGGTACGACCAATCCTGATGACGCACAGCCAAACCACACAGAGTCCCGCCACGGCAAACGATCATGAACTATACAGCAGCAGAGACTAAACAGTGCTAACAATGAAAATAAAACGCATACATACACAAAAAAAACTGTCATTAACATTGATAATGAAAATAGATGAACATAAATAAAAGATAGAAAATACAATAATTAATAAAGGTGACACTTTACAATCCATTAGTCTATGTTAGTTCATGTGTTAACAAACATTAAAAAACAATGAACAATACATTTATTACAGTATTTATTCATCTTTGTTAATGTTAGTTAATGAAAATTGTGAATGTTCATTAACTAATGTTAACAAGCACAATTTTGATTTTAATAATGCATTAGTAAATGTTGAAATGAACATGAAGGTTGATAAATGCTGTAGCAGTGTTGTTCATTCTTAGTTCATGTTAACTAAAGTAGTTAACTAATGTTAACTAATGAACCTTATTGTAAAGTGTAACCATAATAATAAACAATAGGCACATATATTATTTTATGTAACTGAGTGAAAAAAAAAATCCTTTCACTCATTCATTCCTTTTGCCATTAATTGTAATAATGCAGTGAGATTTCTGTATGAATAACAGCCAGTGCTGCACACAGAGATCTGATCTGATCATCATCCAGTCCGTCTGCGATTACATGAAGAAACAGAACAAACTGAGACAGAATAAATCCAGAAGAACTGTGTCAACGTCTCCAAGACGCTTCAAGAAACCTAGACTTTTGCGCAGTACTGTGTGTGCATATATATATATATTTACATTTACATTTAGTCATTTAGCAGACGCTTTTATCCAAAGCGACTTACAAATGAGGACAATAAAAGCAGTCAAAACTAACAAAAGAGCAACAATATATAAGTGCAAATGACAAGTCTCGGTTAGCCTAACGCAGTACACGTGGCAAGGTATATATATATATATATATATATATATACAGTGGGTACGGAAAGTATACAGACCCCCTTCAATTTTTCACTCTTTGTTATATTGCAGCCATTTGCTAAAATCATTTAAGTTAATTTTTTTTCCTCATTAAGAAAAACAGGCCCAAACCATGATACTACCACCACCGTTTTTCACAGATGGGATAAGGTTCTTATGCTGGAATGCAGTGTTTTCTTTCTCCAGACATAACGCTGCTCATTTAAACCAAAATGTTCTATTTTGTCTAATCCATCCACAAAACATTTCTCCAGTATTCCTCTGGCTTGTCCACATGATCTTTAGCAAACTGCAGACGG